CACAGAAATTCAAAAGATCGTTAACAGCTACTAAGAACAACTATATGGCAACAAATTCGACAATCTAAGCGAAATGGACAAATTTCTAGGAACACACAGTCTCCCAAAACTGGAGCGGGAAGAGATAGAAAACTTGAACAGACCAATAGCAACTAAGGAAACTGAAGAGGTAATCAAGACTTTCCCAGCAAACAAAAGCCCAGGCCCGATGGCTTCACGGAGAAATTTTATCAAACATTCAAAAAAGAACTAATACCTATTTTCCTCACACTATTTCAAAAACTTCAAGAAGAAGGAAGACTTACAAACTGTTTTATGAGGCCAGCACCATTCTAATTACAAAACCTGAGAAAGACACTACAAAGAAAGAAAACTACAGGCCAATACCCCTGATGAACATAGACACCAAAATCCTGAACAAAATATTAGCAAATCGGATCCAGCAATACATCAAAAAAATTATTCACCATGACCAAGTGGGATTCATTCCAGGGATGCAAGGTTGGTACAATATTCGCAAATCAATAAATGTGATACACCACATAAATAAAATGAAGAATAAAAACCACATGATCATATCAATAGATGCTGAAAAAGCATTCGACAAAATCCAGCATCCATTTCTGATAAAAACACTCAGCAATGTGGGAATAGAGGGATCATATCTCGACATAATAACGGCCATATATGAAAGACCTACAGCCAACATCATACTCAATGGACAGAAACTAAAAACATTTCCATTAAGAATAGGAACCAGACAGGGATGTCCACTGTCGCCAATCTTATTTAACATAGTGCTGGAAGTCTTAGCCACAGCAATCAGACATGAGGAAGAAATAAAAGGGATCCAAATTGGAAAGAAGGAAGTAAAACTGTCATTATTTGCAGATGACATGATACTATACATAGAAAACCCTAAAGACTCCATCAAAAATCCACTAGACTTAATAAATGAATTTGGCAAAGTAGCAGGATACAAAATTAACGTCAAGAAATCAACGGCATTCTTTTTTTTTTTTTTTAATCCTCACCCGAGAACATTTTTCCATTTTTTGTTCAGGTAGAGTGGGAGGGAGAGAGAGAAACATCGACGTGAAAGGAACACATCGAGTAGCTGCCACCCGCACAACCGACCAGGGACGGGGACAAACTGCAACTGAGGTACATACCCTTAGTGGGAACTGAACCCGGGTCTCTCAGGACCGCAGGCCGACGCTCTAACCGCTGAGCCAAACTGGCCAGGGCTCGACGGCATTCTTGTACACCATTGATGGACTCACAGAAAGAGAAACTGAAAAAACAATCCCATTTACCATGGCGCCAAAAAAAATTAAGATTCCTAGGAATAAACTTAACCAAAGAAGTAAAGGACCTACTTGCAGAAAACTACAGGACATTGAAAAAAGAAATAGAGGAAGATATAAAAAAGTGGAAGCACATACCCTGTTCATGGATTGGAAGAATTAACATCATTAAAATGTCCATACTACCCAAAGCAATCTATAGATTCAATGCAATCCCCATCAAAATACCAACGACTTATTTCACAGAACTAGAACAAATACTTCAAAAGTTCATATGGAACCAAAAAAAGTCCTTGAATAGCCACAGCAATTTTGAAAAAGAAGTACAAAGTAGGTGGGATCACAATACCAGATATGAGGTTATACTTCAAAGCGACTGTAATCAAAACAGCCTGGTACTGGCACAAGAACAGGCATATAGACCAGTGGAACAGAACTGAAAACCCAGAAATGGACCCAAGGCAATATGCTGAATTAATATTTGACAAAGGTGGCAAGAGCACACAATGGAGTAAAGACAGCCTCTTTAATAAATGGTGTTGAGAAAATTGGACAGCTACATGCAAAGAAATGAAACTAGACCATCAACTTACACTATACACAAAAATAAACTCAAAATGCATAAAAGACTTAAATGTGACCTGTAAATCTATAAAAATTGTAGAAGAAAATGTAGACAACAAAATTTCGGACATCATACGCAGCAGAATTTTCACTGATACATCACCTAAGGCAACAGAAACAAAGGAAAAAATGAACACATGGGACTGCATCAAACTAAAAAGCCTCTGCACAGCAAAAGAAACAATCATCAAAATGGAAAGGCAACCCACTGTATGGGAGAACATCATTGCCAATGATGTATCAGATAAGGGGTTAATTTCCAATATATATAGAGTGCTCATACAACTCAACAAAAGGAAGACAAAGAACCCAATTAAAAAATGGGCAGAGGAGCTGAATAGACCCCTCTCCAAACAGGACATACAAATGGCCAAGAGACATATGAAGAAATGCTCAACATCACTAATTATCAGAGAGATGCAAATTAAAACAACAATGAGGTATCACCTCACACCTGTCAGAATGGCCGCCATCAACATCATCAGACAACAAGTGTTTTCGAGGGTGTGGAGAAAAGAGGACTGTAGTACACTGCTGGTGGGAATACAGAATGGTGCAGCCACTATGGAAAACAATATGGTGCTACCTCAAAAAATTAAAAATTGAACTTCCATTTGACCCAGTGATCCCACTTCTAGGAATATACCCTAAGAAGCCTGAAACACCAATCAGGAAGAATATATGTACCCCCATGTTCATAGCAGCACTATTTACAATAGCTAAGATCTGGAAACAGCCCAAGTGTCCATCAGTAGACGAATGGATAAAAAAAGCTGTGGTACATATACACAATGCAGTACTACGCAGCTGTAAGAAAGAAAGATCTCTTATCCTTTGAGTCGACAAGAGGGACCTGGAAAGTATTATCCTAAGTGAAATAAGCCAAGCAGAAAAAGACAAACACCACATGATATTACTTATATACAGAATATAATGAACATAACATTCTGAAGAATATGGTAGACCCAGAAAAATGGAAATAGGGCACAGACTGACATCCCTCAGAAGAGGGGGTGGGGGAAGTGGGAAGAGATAAACCACAGAACTTATATGCATGTATGCATGACCAATGGACATGGACAACTAAGCTGGGGACGGGGTGGGGGTGGGATGGGGTGTGGAAGGGGGTGTCAATGGGGTAAAAAAGGAGAAATATCTGTAACAAAAAAATAAATAAATAATTAAAATATATATATATATTACATACATACTTGAAATCAATTACATACAATATTGCTTATATGTTACATATGCATTTTACACATAAAGGCATATACAACTATCTTTTAAATAAGTAAAAAGATATCTTTTGGTCAGTAGCTTTAACTTAACAAAAGACAGACAATGAATCATACAGAATCATAAGCAGATATGATCTAATTTTTAACTCTTTAAAATGATATTTCCCACATATACAAAACCTTATACAGAGAAAAGTATTTCATGTAAAATATCAAAAAATTTATTTTAATCTGTATACTTAAAATGTCTCTCAACCTATTTTAAAAGCCTTTTCCTATTTTATTACACCAATGAAATAATTTATCAAATGATGAGAAAAGAGCATACTAATATAAATTATTTTTATTCTGTGAAAATGTCATAATTTATGATGATTAAGAATAAAAATGCAGCATATAACAAAATAGGCATTTAACTGTTAAAAGCCACCTGGATTTACAAAACTTCTTTTAAAGTATTTTTAGAATGCATTAAGAAAACAAATTAATTTTTGAGATATATAAAACATTAATTCCACTTCATTATATATTTAATTTCAAAATCACTTTAATTAAATGGACTTAGTAATTATTATATACTAAAGTAACCAAAAATTTTAAAAAACATTTATTCTCAAGCTAGATGAATTTTTAAAAAAATGGCAAAAGTATAAGTTTAGTTTCTTTAAAAATGAGGAAATGTAAATGTTAAAAATGAAACCAAAAAGATGTAAAAATGAGTTTTTCCCTTTAAAATCCAGTCCAAAATTTACATTTGTCTCTTTGTGTTGTTTCTCCTTACATTTCAGCCATCTATCAAATTTATGTTGTTATAATTTTATTATCTGAAGTAGGAGTTCAATGTACAAAACTAAAAAAATAAAATGTGTATGATGTTAACTAGAGTAGTAAGTGACTTGATTAATGAAAGTTCAGGGAGTTTAAAATGTGAATAAAACATGATGCTCTCCAGTAAAATTTTAAAATTAAATAATCACAGTAAACTGCCTTCGACATACTATCATGTTGTTGTCAGATACCAGTATATGTCTGTTGTTAGTACAAGTTACCAAACCGACCGATTTTGACAAGGTGATATAGGAATCACACCATTTATAGCATTTTCACCTTGATATAAATATATGCATTCATTTATGAATCTATTCCTCAAAGTATATATCTAAGTGTCTAAATGCAGAGAAATAAAAAATTCTACAGATGCCATTCTTCGGTGCAAAAGAAATGCTATTATTTTACATTGAGAAATTATTTTGGAGCTATTTCTTTATAAAAATTATTTTGAAATTATTTCCTTATTCTTCTTGTTTTAGTACCCAAGCATTTCCCTGTTATAAAACATAAGTCTATGGACCTACAGTAGCCTTTTCAGTCTTTTTGCCTTTGATTTCACAGCACTAAAGGATTACATTAACCTAAGAGTCACTGCAGCTGCTGATCAACAAGGGAGTGACAAGGAGCCCCTTGATCTCTGAAAAGGTTTCACCTTTGAAGGAGGGGTTTACTGGAACTTATAATAATATCTCACATAACACTTTTATTTTATTTTTCAAGTATCTTTTATTAGGATCATCGTTAAAGAAAACAAACAAAAAAAGAATTGAACTCTCCTTGGCTCATGCTTTCAAATAATACAATTTGTTAGAATAAGGATCTGAAAATCTATTTTTAAAAAGTATTATTTAAAAATTAGGTCAAATTAGTATGTATAGTTAAAGAATAATACTATTATAAAACATACCTCAAAACATATAAATATATCATTTGTATACTTAATGTTTGTCCAGTAAATCAATTCTATTTTCCAGACAATTTAAACAAAGCATCTATAGAAAAGTATACAGTCAATATCATAGTAATTAAAATTCTTAAACAAATGTTTTAGAAAAATATAAAAAGTTAAAAATTTAGGTTATAAATTCCCAAGAGTTCCCCTTCCATGCACATGTATCTTACCAAAAAGGTTAACAGTTCAGAAATAAAGACTATTAAACAAATAGTAATGAAAGTGTGCAAAGTCCATTGGCTCTGTTTCTGAAAGGTTCTCCTTCAGGAATATGCCCATGAGTAGGGATGTGTAAACCAGAGTCAATACTAACTTGCTAACTTGGTCCAAAATGCTCATCCCATCTGCTGGTTCTTCTGCTTCCTTTTATTTTTTAAACCATGAACAACATGGCTAAGTAATTATCAGATCACTCATGTATTTGGTCATCAACCTCCTCAGTGAAATTGCTAAGGTTATCATGCCTAGAAAGAAGGTCCTCCAGTTGATCCTGCCTATATTAAGACAGCTCATCCACAAGACTTGGTTATGAGATCATGTCATGGACATCACTGTTAGGTCTCTGTCGCACTGCCAGGGGAGGCAGTGGTTTCCCGTAGAAATCTATGTATACAAGGCATAACAAAAATACAAAACAGTTATGGTAAATAGATATTTTTGAAAAAATTCATTATTTGCCAACTAACACCTTAAAAAAAAAAATCTAACTTGATAGATGAAGCAATGGGAGAGTTGAAAAAAATCAAAATCCAAGGAAACTTGAGTAAATTTAAAACACAATCATAGGGTAAACTCTTAACTCTAAATCATACATTAACCTCTACTTGATTTAATGAAAAGCTGCACCTAAAATCTATTTTATTATTTTTGTTTCCAATTACGTGTTCACATTAGAAAAGAATAACAAATAATTACAATCTATGGAACCTGTGGTCAAAGCCCTGATAAGTCAGTGTTTATACAATCCATGTTCTTATCCAGTGACATTTCTTCTAGGTATTTTGGGAGAAGTAATTAATTATTTTAGTGTTCTGGTAAGTAGGAATCTTTTATAATGATGTTTCAATATAGTTCAGTGATTTAGGGCAAATTAGATACAAAAAAGTTTCATTTTATATTTTATAAGTTCCTATCCTTTTATTATCACAAATTAGCTTTTAAATGTAATAGCATATTTAACATTCCAGTAAGTAATTATTTTCTGGCCTATTCCCTTAAAATTATTCCAGAAGCACAGGTGTTCAGGATCACATGAAACAAATATATCGAAAATGTATTAGGGGCCTATTCCAGTTCTGCATGTGTCTAGAGTTTAGCTAAGCTACTCCATGGTATTGCTGCCTCAGCATTCATTTTGTTTGGCCAAGTGGCCTGTGGGGCCTTAAAGACAGTGGCCCCTCACGAAAGCACATGCTCTAGATAACTCCTGCGGAGTCCTAGTAAATGTAAGTTCCCGATATGACTTCCTCAATGGCCCTGTGGTCAACACTCTCTCTCACCTTCCAGTCTTTTCTCAGATAAGACTCTAGTGGAACTTAACAAAACTCCACTTTCTTTGAATTGACCAATTTGGCCATAGCTTGAGAACACCAAAGCACTTCACCACAGACCCTAATAAAGGCAAGTGCCCAGATCCTGCATCTCTCAGCCTGCACCATGCCTTGAGCACCCCCTGCGGAACCCTTGAGGCATGCCATGTCTTTCCTCTGGGACTTGTGAGTAATACACTTCTCTATTGCAACTTCTCTTATGGTCTTCCAGAACCCAAGCTTACCATCCAGTGTGCAGGGGTCTACTTAACAAATGTCAATTCAACAAAAATCATAACAGTATTTAAGGAACTTGGGAGTCATCACTCCATCCTAACATGAAATAAACAGCTGAACAGACTTAACAGTCAACAACTCTTCTTGGATCCATGAGAGGGAGGTCAAAGGTAGAACCACTGCCTCCAATATTGGACAGACAGGCAAATACAAGGAGTCTCACTTTACTGGAGCAGACATTCATGCACAGAAACTGCTGAGGGAACCAGTGTCCAAATAGGAAAACCTAGCAAGAAGTATCTTTCCCCACCCAAAATATTATTTTATTTTTGCAGTTGATTTGTATTAGTTCTTTGCCAGAAAATTTAAATCATTCTACAAAGTAGGTTTCTTGTTGCCTTAATTGTGGAGAATATAAGTTGATCTTAGTGCCAAACGGTATGACCAACTTAATTAACACCATTTTTATAAAGGGTTCAAACACAAACATGAAAAATTGTATGTAGTAATACTACATACAAAATTTTATCTTAGTTCATATTCTAGGATTTGAAAATATTCTTTAGTTTGTACACTTGTTTTTTTTTTCATGAATCTGTGACTTATTTCTCATAATGTATAATACATAACATATTGATGAAGTATGGACTGACTGTTTACAAAGGGAAAATAGATTTCCATCTCTTCTCTAATGCCATGTACTGGCTGGACTATACCTTATTTTAATTTCATCCAAAGAAATTATTTTCTTGAGGCAATAAAACCTTCAGTTCAGTACCTTTCTATTTAGCTGAACTTTATTTGGTATACTTGATTGGCCTCTGATTCTATAATTATGTTGATCATATTTCATTTTAATATTCAGCAGCTTGTTGTCTTATTAGAAGCAGAGAAAGCACAATTATATGGCATCATTGAGTATATTGAGTACATATGTGACAATGTAGTTTTTAAACACTATAATTGTAATGTCTATTTAATTTCAATTGCTGTAAAGCCTTTCCCTTTCCATCACTATTTATATAAATATATAATGGATAAACACAAGCTTTGATTATTTTTGCCACTGTATTCTAAGGTAAACATCAATTCAAATTTAGAGGGAAAAGTCACTAAAAAAAAAAAAGATGTATAATGAAAAAGGATGCCTGTGGATTTGAAAGGCTTCCAAAAATAAAAGTTTGCTGAAGTAATGAGGCAAAGAAAAGTAAATGTAAAATGTACAGATATTTGAAAACGGATCCTTTTGCATTACCATTATGACGTGTTTCACCAAGAGGCTCAAGTTTTGGAAGTCTAGTGACTTTGGGGGTTCCCCAGCCAACTAAAGAAAAAGAAAAACATTTAAAACACTGTTAAATAATGTCTCTTTAGGTTGGTGGAGAGGATCACTCCCTAGACAGGAATGTATATAACAGATGATGTCAATTCATATACACTAAATGACACAATACTGAATAGCCATAAACCCATTTTAAATGACTTTGATTTAAAAATGTCATTGTAGGCTGGCAACACTTGCCTGGAATTTTTATTTACCTTTAGTTAAAAATATAAGCATCTTCCCCACTACAATAAATAACCTTAGGCTATTGTTGTAACCCCTAGCAAAGGCTACAAGAAATGTTTACTTATTAAATGGAATACTAGAAATGAGTCTTCAGCTAATTCTCAAAAGAAAATATTACCATCAACAGCCTTCTAGTTGGGCTAAAAGGACACTATAAACATATATTTAGATATCTAATGAGTACCTACAGTATACGAGGTACTATACCTAATGCTGGCAAACTGCTCACAGTTATTATGCAGCTAATAAGCCCCCGTGGTTTACACGCTGTATTCCATTTAACCCTCGGAACAACTTAGAAGGTCGGCATGTATGTTGGAAATATAATGGAAAAATTCATATATCTTGGTTTCAAATGTTAACTTTCAAGATGAAAGATGAAATTTTTAAAAGCTCTTATTAGCCATTCATTCATTAAACTTAAATTCCTTTTAGCAATTTGTGCACTGACATTTTAAATAAGATTGAAATCCATTCTAGGAAGGGCCTAGGTAAGGTTTTCTTATTAATTTTTACTTTTTTTTTTTACCTTTATAAAACATTTTTTATAGTTAAAAAGGAAACAGATATATATCTTGATATATCATGAACAAAATACAACAAAGAAGTCTACCTTTTTCAAATTCACAAGACAATGATATACTGAATAAAAACTACACATTTTCTTTTTCTTTTTCTTCATTGTTTAAAGCAGTATTTCTACATTCAGTATCAATGTCAAACTACTCACCAGGAGGAGGAGGTGGGGGTGGTGTGGGGCTCTTAGGAACAGAGTCATCTGTATTAACAGGTTCTACACGGTGACTCCTTTTTATTCTTAGTTTCTTAGTTTTCTTTTTACTGTTATCTACAAGAACATAAACATGGAACTTGGGAAAAATTAAACTTCTATAATAAAAATTAAGAACAAAACTATAATATTGATATTATTACCATAGAAATATATCTTCAATTCAAGTTTGACATTACCAATAACAAAATGTGAACTTCTCTTTACTAAGAATTAAATTTTTAAATAATTGCTTATTGAAAGTTGACAAATATGATACAAACAACAAAAAGCCTATATGCTGCCCTGGCCGGTTTGGCTCAGCGGTTACAGCGTCGGCCTGCGGTACAGTGAGACCCGGGTTCGGTTCCCGCTAAGGGCGCGTACCTCGGTTGCAGTTAGTCCCCGGCCCTGGTTGGTCGTGCAAGTGGCAACCACTCGATGTGTCCCTTCACATCGATGTTTCGCTCTCTCTCTCTTCCTCTCTCTCCCTCCCGCTCTGTCTGAAAAAAAATGCAAAAATGTCCTCGGGTGAGGATAAAAAATAAATAAAAATAAAAAAGCCTATATTCTAAGTTCTATGAGAGGTTATTTGGAAACAAAGAAAGTCCACATTTCTAAAAATAACTTATAATTTTGCCAAATGTCATATTAAGTAAATACAATTGTCTTATTGCAGGGATTTCCATAAAACTCAGAATGGCCTGGGGAAGGAGGAGTGGTGTTGACTTGTCTCAATAGGATGGAGATTATATATATTCTAGCATAAATAGTCCAAAAATAATTATTTGAAATGTGAAAAAGACTCCAATCAAATCTAAAAACATTACCCATTAAAATAACCCAAAAAAAGGTATGCCCAATATAAATACAGGGCAAGGCAAAAGAAGGTTTATAGTTGTTCATATGGAAAGTAATACAATAATTAATAAATAATAATATAAGAATAAACTCTGTTATTAAACAATGAATGGGTCACCGAGGAGATCAAGGAAGAAATTAAAAACTTCCTGGAAACCAATGAAAATGAACACACAACAACACAAAATCTATGGGATGCAGCAAAAGCAATTCTGAGAGGGAAGTTCATAGCACTACAGGCCTACCTCAAAAAAACAAGAAAAATTTCTACTTGACTGTCTAACCTCACAACTTAAAGAATTAGAAAGCAAACAAAAAGAAAACCCCAAAGCAAGTAGAAGGAAGGAAATAGTAAAGATCAGAGCAGAAATAAATGACATAAAGACCAAAAACACAATTCAAAGGATCAATGAAACAAAGAGCTGGTTTTTCGAAAAGATAAACAAGATTGATGGACCCTTAGCTAGACTCACCAAGAAACAAAGAGAGAGAACCCAAATACACAAAATCAGAAATGAAAGAGGAGAAGTAACAACCAACACCACGGAAATACAAAAGATCGTTAACAACTACTATGAACAACTATATGGCAACAAATTCGACAATCTAAGTGAAATGGACAAATTTCTAGAAACACACAGTCTCCCAAAACTATTCCTGGAACAGATAGAAAACTTGAACAGACCAATAACAACTAAGGAAATTGAAGAGGTAATCAAGACTCTCCCAGAGAACAAAAGCCCAGGCCCAGATGGTTTCACGGGGGAGTTTGACCGAACATTCAAAAAAGAACTAACACCCATTCTCCTCAAACTATTTCAAAAAATTCAAGAAGAAGGAAGACTTCCAAACACGTTCTATGAGGCCAGAGTAATTCTAATTCCAAAACCAGAAAAAGACACTACGAAGAAAGAAACTTACAGGCCAATATCCCTGATGAACATAGACGCCAAAATCCTGAACAAAATATTAGCAAATCGGATCCGGAAATACATCAAAAAAATTATTCACCATGACCAAGGGGGATTCATCCCAGGGATGCAAGCCTGGTACAATATTCACAAATCAATAAATGTGATACACCACATAAACAAAATGGAGAATATAAACCACATGATCATATTAAGAGATGCAAAAAAAGACTTCGACAACATCCAGCATCCATTTCTGATAAAAGCTCAGCAGTGTGGGAATAGAGGGATCATATCTCGACATAATAAAGGCCATATATGAAAGACCTACAGCCAACATCATACTCAATGGACAGAAACTAAAAACATTTCCATTAAGAACAGGAACAAGACAGGGATGTCCACTTTCGCCACTCTTATTTAACATTGTACTGGAAGTCTTAGCCACAGCAATCAGACATGAAGAAAAAATAAAAGGGATCCAAATTGGAAAGGAGGAAGTGAAACTGTCATTATTTGCAGATGACATGATATTGTACATAGAAAACCTTAAAGACTCCATCAAAAATCTATTAGACTTAATAAATGAATTTGGCAAAGTAGCAGGATACAAAATTAACGTCAAGAAATCGATGGCATTCTTGTACATCAATGATGAACTCACAGAAAGAGAAACTGAAAAAACAATCCCATTTACCATCGCGCCAAAAAAATTAAGATACCTAGGAATAAACTTAACCAAAGAAGTAAAGGACCTATTTGCAGAAAACTACAGGTCATTGAAAAAAGAAATAGAGGAAGATATAAAAAAGTAGAAGCACATACCCTGTTCATGGATTGGAAGAATTAACATCATTAAAATGTCCATACTACCCTAAGCAATCTATAGGTTCAATGCAATCCCCATCAAAATACCAATGACATATTTCATAGAACTAGAACAAATACTTCAAAAGTTCATATGGAACCAAAAAAGACCCCGAATAGCCACAGCAATCTTGAAAAAGAAGAACAAAGTAGGTGGGATCACAATACCAGATATCAGGTTATACTACAAAGCAACTGTAACCAAAACAGCCTGGTACTGGCACAAGAACAGGCATATAGACCAGTGGAACAGAACTCAAAACCCAGAAATGGACCCAAGGCAATACGCTCAATTAATATTTGACAAAGGTGGCAAGAGCATACAGTGGAGTAAAGACAGACTCTTTAATAAATGGTGTTGGGAAAATTGGACAGCTACATGCAAAAAAATTAAACTAGACCATCAACTTACACCATACACAGAAATAAACTGAAAATGGATAAAAGACTTAAATGTCACCCGTGAATCCATAAAAATTCTGGAAGAAAATGTAGGCAACAAAATTTCGGACATCATACGGAGCAGAATTTTCACTGATACATCACCTAAGGCAACAGAAATAAAGGAGAAAATGAACACATGGGACTACATCAAACTAAAAAGCTTCTGCACAGCAAAAGAAACAATCATCAAAATGGAAAGGCAACCCACTGTATGGGAGAACATCACTGCCAATGATGTATCAGATAAGGGGTTAATTTCCAATATATATAGAGTGCTCATACAATTCCACAAAAGGAAGACAAAGAACCCAATTAAAAAAATGGGCAGAGGAGCTGAATAGACACCTCTCCAAACAGGACATACAAATGGCCAAGAGACATATGAAGAAATGCTCAACATCACTAATTATCAGAGAGATGCAAATTAAAACAACAATGAGGTATCACCTCACACCTCTCAGAATGGCCGCCATCAACAAATCATCAAACAACAAAAGTGTTGACGAGGGTGTGGAGAAATGGGGACTCTAATACACTGCTGGTGGGAATGCAGACTGGTGCAGCCGCTATGGAAAACAATATGGTGCTACCTCAAAAAATTAAAAATTGAACTTCCATTTGACCCAGTGATCCCACTGCTGGGAATATACCCTAAGAAGCCTGAAACACCAATCAGGAAGAATATATGTACCCCCATGTTTGTGGCAGCACTATTTACAATAGCTAAGATCTGGAAACAGCCCAAGTGTCCACCAGTAGACGAATGGATCAAAAAGCTGTGGTACATATACACAATGGAGTACTATGCAGCTGTAAGAAAGAAAGATCTCTTATCCTTTGAGACGACATGGAGGGACCTGGAAAGTATTATCCTAAGTGAAAGCAGCCAAGCAGAAAAAGACAAATACCACATGATCTCACTTATATACGGAATATAATGAACATAACAGTCTGAGGAATACAGTAGACCAAGACACATGGAAGTAGGGCACAGACTGACATCCCTCCGAAGAGGGGATGGGGGGTGGGGGGGTGGGAAGAGATAAACCACAGAACTTATATGCATGTATGCATGACCAATGGACATGGACAACTAAGCCGGGGACAGGGTGGAGGGGGCGGGTGGGGGGTGCCAATGGGGTAAAAAGGTAAAATATGTGTAACAAAAAAATAAATAAAAATTCATAAAAAAAAAAAAAAAGAATAAACTCTGTGTTTCATGTACTCACAATTATAAACCTACTTTTGCCACAACTTGTATATATAACCAAAACTCACATTGGACCTTGCAGAATTGAATTTGCGTTATTTTAAAAATATGTTGTTATTGATTTCTTAGAGACAGGGGAAGAGAGAGGGAGAAAGAGAGAGAAACATTGATGAGAGAGAGAAACCATGATCGGCTGCCTCCTGCATGCCCCCTCCTGGGGATCAAACCACAACCCGGGCACGTGCCCTGACCAAGAATCAAATCAGAGACCTCTCAGTCCATGGAACAATCTCAATCCACTGAGTCATATGGGCCAGGCCGAATTTGTGTTACTTTTAAAGGTAACTATTTACAGATTCTCACTTAATAACATTTTTAGAACATCTATGTTGTTAAAATGTAGACTTTAACAATGTAAGCCATGGCACAGACTCGCAGACCCCAGGGAACTCGGCGGGACCGGGGAACGCGGCGGAAAGTTAATTCTACCGGCTCCCTTCCCGCCGTGCACGGCCCTGGAACCTCTGTAGCCGCTGAAGCCGCACAGACTCCTGGCCCCCAGGGAACTCAGCGGGACCGGGGAACGCGGCGGAAAGTTAATTCTACCATCTCCCTTCCCGCCGTGCACGGCCCTGGAAACTCTGTAGCCGCTGAAGCCGCACAGACTCACAGCCCCCAGGGAACTCAGCGGGACCGGGGAACGCGGCAGAAAGTTAATTCTACCGTCTCCCTTCCCGCCGTGCACGGCCCTGGAAACTCTGTAGCCAGCTAAACTCTCCGCTGAA